CATCTTTGTGGCCTTTGTTCACATTTCAAGGTCTCGCCCCACTCTTCTGTCATGATGATGTATTTGATAACCGCAAATGGCTCTTCCAGCCTCAAAGCCCCCATTTCTGCCAGTGGGAAAAGGAAACGGAAATAAGGCGTCATCTTTTAAGGGAACCCATCAATTCCTCTCACTTCTCATTGGCCAGAATTAGTCAAATTAGTCAAATGGCTGTCCCCAGCTGCAGGGGAAGCTGGGAAATGTAGTCTCCACCCAGCTAAAATCTTTATTAGTATAAGAAAGAAGGAGCCTGGACATTGGGCGAAACTGGCCACACGGACTCTGTGTACTTGTTATGTGCCAGGCTTGGGGAGATGTGTGACCTCAGTGAAGCCTCACATCCATTCATTGATTCAACACGTATTCAGAAAGTGCCCACGAGGAGTCAGGCCTTGGAGGTTAGGAATTCAGTGATGAGATAAACATTTTAAAAGTGTCCATACATGTAAATATACCACGGAAACAAATTCTCATAGGTTGCTAATGTTAACCGTTTATGAAGGAGGAAACGGGTTCAGAGAGGTGAAATCACTTGCTGAAATTCATCCAGCAAGTAAGCATTTGGGGGGCAAAAGGTTTTGAAATAGCACTACCCAGTGCGTGGGGCGAGGGGGCAGGGAACACTTGTTAGAAATGCATATTCCTGGTCTCATACCAAACCTACTAAATCAATTTTCATAAGAAGGGCTCAGAGTCTGTATTTATAACAAGCTCCCTGAGTCATTCCGATGCACAAGAAAGTGTATGAACCACTGTTTCAACCATCTAATCAATGCAAAACAACTTGCTATTGATCTCCTCTCCTACGCCCAGCCCAGTGCTGAGACTCAGTGGTACCCGAGGTGGCCGTAGCCCTGCCCTCCTGGGATTCACAGTCTGGAAGAGACGGACCGGACCGTCTCCTGATGGTCCTGCATGGCCAGGGGTGGGTTAGGGAATCTGAGGGAGCTGGAGCTGTAGAGGCCAGAGGGTCACGGAAGGCTTCCTGGAGGAGGGGAGAGCTGAGCTGGGATTGCAGGCATAGTGAGCATCCATCATTATTCTGTATACAGCATGCTCTGGTCTGTAGCTAGGAAGAATGGGAACTTAACATAGTTTGGGGACAGGAAAGCATTTCATTCATTTATTCTTTAAACAAATATTTGCTGAATTCCTCATAATGAGTTCTGGGAATACCGTGTTGAACAAAGATCTCGTTTTCTCCCTCACATTGCTTACAGTGGGGTACAGTCATTGAATAACATCAGAAGTAACATTTCGAGTATAAGTTCAGTTAAGTGCCCCGAGAGGGAGGTACAGCTAGAGGTGACCATACAACAGGAGTTCCTGATCCTCCTGGAAAATCAGGGAGGCTTCCTGGAAGAAGAAAATTCATGGGATGAGTAGGAGTTAGCCGGGCAAGGGGCATGGGGGCGGTGGAAAGGGAGATCAGGCAGAGAGATGAGCATGTGCAATGGCCCTGGGGTAAGAGGGCTTCTCGGGTCTCAGCTTCTGCTTTACCTACCTCCTACCCCACAGCCTGGAGGGGCCTCCCTCATACAAGCCACCAACCCCAAAGGCAAAGCTGGAGGAGCCAGAGATGGTGAGCACTTTCCCTGGAGCCCAGGCTGCCCTGACCTCCACACCCACGTTTCCCCACTGAGGAGGAGGGGCTGGGGGGAAGAGGCCGGCTGTGTGAGGGTCCTGACCTGCCCCTCCCCCTTCCACTGCAGCCCTCCCAGCTCTTCACCCTGGGGCCCTCGGAGCACAGCCCACTCAAGACCCCCTACTTTGATGCTGGAGTCTCATGCGCTGAACAGGTAGAAGTTTGGTGGAAGACAAGGGTGGATTCGCGGTCTGGGTTTAAAGGCCAGGGGTCAGTCCTTGACATAAGAGGTCAAAGACTAACCATCACAACTCAAGTTCAAGGCTGTGTCTCTGGTCAGAGCTTACGGCATTGAGATGTGTTTGGAATTCGTTGGGGAAGGTCATGATCAAAAGAATCCAAGTACATGAGGTCAGAGTTTAAAGTCGGTTAACGAAGACGGTTGAACATCTACGTTTGCCGGATACTGTGGGACAAGACAGACAAGTCACTCCCCTCAGCAGTCTACTGGAGGTCAGGGGTCACATACTGAGGTTGCGACAAGTCAAGGTTTAAGGAACTTTTCAGGCTTAAAGTTAAGTAGTTGAGGTCAAGACTGGAGTCAGAGGTTCATGAGGAAAAACTTGGGGTCAGGACTCCAAAGACAAAGTAGAGACTCAAGATTGACAGGGTGAGGTCAATGCTCTCAGCTGAGTTAGGGTCAGGCCATATGATTGCCCCGGTGCAGTACTGACCCAGGTGACAAGGGGCGCGATCAGGTCTGGTTGGCATGGGGAGATGGTCAGGATATGGAGTCAAGGGGGCAGATTGGGCTTCTGTGTCATATTCAAGAGGTGACCTTGGGCTCTTATTCCCTCCCCGCCTCCAGGAAATGCCTCGGTACCATGAGCTGCCCACCTT